CGGAGCCGCCGAGCTCCGGCGTCACGTGGGCGCGCGGGGGGGGGGCGCGGGCGGGGGCTGTGGGAAAGGCCGGGCGGGCGCAGGCCCATTCACGGCCAGCAACCAGGGCTTTGAAATCCGAGCCCGGGCGCTGCCAGACTGGTCCGGCGAGCGGGCCGGCGGGCGCGGGCGCCACTGCGGGTCGCGGTGGCGCGGGGGCGGTGGCAGTGGCGGAGGCGGGGGCGGGGCTCGCCCAGTCCTCAGGCGAGAGTGGAGGGGCGGCGGGGTCCGGGTCTGCGGAGACGCCTCCTAGCCTTGGGTCTCGGTTGGGGCACTTCCCGCGTTTTCAAAGACGAGCGCGGTGGCGGGGTGACGAGGGGCTTCGGGAGCGGGTACTTGGCACCCTCCTCGCTAAGTTCTCTGGTTCTTTTCTGAGCGGCGATGTCACCCGGATGGCGAGTCCGGTGACGGGCTTTGGGGGATAGTGGTCTCCTGGCCCTGGGGCAACCTTCTTCTTAGTCAGTGGGGGTCCGTGCCCACCAGCAGAGCAACCCCTGATGCTTGGGCAGTGCGTGGGGACGCACACATGTGCACGTGGGTGACAGCAAGTACAGCCCGTCGTCCTGGAGGCTCCAGGCAGGTAAAACCCACTCATGGGGCTGCACGTTGCTGGGCTCTGGGGAAAAGCAGGCACTCTCCTTCCTCCCCGACTCCAGTGCCTGCAGGGGCCTGGGGACAGGTGACCCCTGGCCCAGGAGTTCGTGTGGAGAGGCTCTTGGAGCCAACCCGAGGTTTGGAGCACCCGACCCTCGCTCCCTCCCTGGACGGGCCTTTCTTCTCTTTGCCCAGCGATCTGCAGAGTGCTCTGCAGCATGCAATTCCTTTCCATCCATAAAAGCTGGAGGCTCAGCTCGCACCTGCCCAATGGGGATGAGTCCCAGTACCCCCGGGGAATCAGGATGGAAGTCTGATTTGGGGCTGGAGGGCGGGGTCCAGAATGCCAGGGCAGGCCTGGAGGAGAGTAGGTCATAGAGGTGGAGAGCAGGCCCTGGTGGTGCAGCCAGTGTGAAACCAGGCCTGCAGGACACTCGAGGCCCAGGTGCCGTGGGAAAGGAGCAGGCAGGTGCAGGTTAGCGTTTCTGTCATTTCTTTATTGGGGCGGGAGATTTCTGCACTGGTCCCGTGTGCGTACAGGCTACATACACGCCTAGGTACGTGCACATGTCACATATGTATACACAGAGCTGCACAAGGCCAGGGCCCAGGCTGAGGGGCTCCACCTCATTTCACAGAGGCGCATGAGAAAGACTGATTCCAGGGGCTGGGTGTTGGCTGAGGCCTCGGCCCCACCTGGTGGGAAGCCAGCAGTCTGTAGCCAGGGTGCAGCAGACAGCGCTGGGAATGGGAATCCAGAGGAGCGGGGCGGCAGAGCAGTCTCCATGTCTCTCCCCTCCCCTGGGCTGGTCCTCAAGCTCCCGAGGAGGCGGCCTAGAGCCCTTGAGTGCTTCCCAGGCCCTTTGCTGGGTCCTTCACCATGCCATGCTGTGCTGTGCCGGGCAGCGCATCAGAGGACGACCCTCCGGTCCAGGTGATCCCCGCGCCCGCTCCGCTGGTGCCGCACTTCCAGGTGCTGGTTCTGGACTTTCTCAAAGTGCTGCAGCAGCTCTTCATAGTCAATGCTGGTGGAGTCGCCTTTCTGGGACTTGGGGGTGGCCTTCAGACTGTCTCTGGGGAGATGAGCAGAGGGCTGAGTCAGTGTCTGTGTGCATGGGGTCGCCGGAGGGGCCCAGCCCCGGGAGCCTGTCTGCCATGCCTGGGAACCCCTCCCCAGCAGCCAGCCCCAAAGAGATGGGAGCCCCAGGCACACCCCCTCTCTCACAGCCAGTGGGAACAGCAACGGCCAGCACTGCTGCTTGGAAATCATGGCCTGTGGGCTGGCAACGGCGCCCAGAGCAGGCATCAGATGGGGAAGCATTTCCTGTTTACCAGTGGCTCCCTTTGGGGTGAAAGCCAGGGAGAGCAGCCAGCCAGGAAGCCAGCTGGAGCCTGGAACAGGGTCTGGAGAAAAGGAGAGGAGGCAGCCTGGCCTTTTCTCCCGGGCAGTGTGAGGGCTAGGGACACCGGCCCTCAACTTGGCAGGGCCTTTGTTTTTGAGCGTTGGGGCCCTGGGGCCTACAGTTTCTCCCTGTCCCTGAGGAAGGAAAGCTGGTCTTACCACTGGATATGCCAATGGCTCCTACACTATTGCTACCATCCTCCTCAGGTATTCTGTACAGCAGCACAGGCTGTGCACTGCAGAACTAGTGTGCATGATGCTGCCTCCAGGCTGGAGCGTGGCCTGCCTGGGGGACCAGATTCCCTTGGGTCTCTGTCCCATCCCTAACCATCCCTCCAGCAGAGCTTCCTTTTCTCTGTGGCCTCACTGGCTTGGAGAAGTATCTGTGTGGAGGGGAAGGGTCTGCTGCCAGCTGGTAGCCTGGTGGCCCTGATACAGGGGTCTCAGGCGACAGCAGGCTATTCATTAGGCAGAGTCCTCGGGCCTTTGAGTTCACGGAGTCCTCAACAGGGGGAAATATGATGCCACCCCCTGCAACGCAACCTCACCAAGGAGCCTGGCCCAGTGCAGAAAACCACGACCACAGCCTGGAAGGCGTCTCCTGAGGCCCGCCAGACTGTGGGCAGGACCAGGGCAGGGGTTGCTCCCCACAGCCTCTAGTGCCCTGGGCTGGTTGGTTTGTACTCCCTGCTTTCTGAAAACAGCCTGGACAGTGGCTGCCGCGTTCTCGAGCTGGGCCTGGTCATGGCTGGTTCATCAAAGATGAGGTATCCGCTGGGTGGTGCCCTGTGGTACCCTGGGCTCCTGCTGTTGCTGCTCTCACCCCCCCCCCCCGGCCATGGGGAAGACCCTCCCTGCACAGCAGCCCTGTGGCCAGGGTGCCACGCTCCTAGCAAACTCGAGGGTGAGTTCGAAGATGAGGGGTGCTAAGGAGGATGAGGCAGGGTTGGGAGTGGGCTGCATCCTTTCTCTGGGACCTCAAAGTGGCAAAAGTCCTGCCCCTCAATCAGGTGTAGAAGCTCACACCTGTAATCCCTGGCCTCTGGGGGGCTGAGGCAGGAAGGGCTCCAGTTTGGGCCCAACTTGGGCAATTTAGTGACTTAGTGAGAATGTCTCAAAATGAAGAATAATAAAAGGCTGAGGATGTAGCTCAGTGTAAAGGTCCTGGGTTCAATCCCTGGTACCACCAAAAAACAAAACAAAACAAATCCTGCCCCAGCGATGGGACGAGGTTCTGAGGGTGGCAGAGGGGGTGTCCCTGTGGGAGGGGAGACGTTGCCTGGTCTTTGGAGGATGGAGGTCAGACCTCCTCTCCCTGCTGTAGCAGCAGGCATGGCTACTGCTCAACCTCTCATGTTCTCTGTTCCAGCCACAATCGGGCTATGGGTGACAGGGATGCTGGCCAGCCGCACAGAGCCGGCCCCTCTCCTGCCAGCCCTCCATGCCCCTCTTGCCTCACTGAGGAGATGCTTTGTGGGGAGAGCCACTGTCCTCGGGGCTCTGGTGTGCTGTGAGGATGCAGACCCCCATAGGTGCAGCTCCTCCAGATGTCAGGAAGCTCCAAGCTGTCAGCTGCCTGCCCTGCCTGGGCTGGACTGGTGGTCAGCCTTCTTCCCAAAGTGTGAACTGTCCCTCTGTGCCCAACCCTGCAACTGGACCCCTCCCCAAGCTGTCCCTCAGCTGAGGCCTGCTGCTCCCTCACAGCCCCCATGCCTGCATCGGAGGGGCTGTTTCTTCCCAGGCCCTTGTGAGAAAAGGCTGGGAACCTATGGTTGGGAAGAGCCCCTACACCATGGACTCCAAATGTTCATTTACTGATGAAGACCCCAGGAGCCCAGAGAGGGTGTGGGGTTTGCCTGAGGCCACATAGCCAATCTACAGCAGAGCCTGAACCAGATCCTAGTCCAGGTCTAGGAACTGCCCATGGACTGACAGAATTCTCTACCGTAAGCTAAACCTTTGGCTTAAGACTTGTGGACTTGCCGGGGATTTAGGTCAGTGGTTCTGCTGACTCCTTTGCAAGCACAAGGTCCTGAGTTTGATCCCCAGTACCAAAAAAAAAAAGACTTCCTGGACTCTGACCATGGGAGAGGCTGAGGAAATCCTCCTTTTCCCAGCTTCCCCTGCAAAGGTGTCCTACCCTGGCTCGGGGAGGTGTCTAACTCGGAGCCTTCCTGCCTCTCCCAAGACACAAGGCAGCATGCGGAGCTTGGGGAGCCTTCCCCATGGGGAAGCCGCCTGCCTTGTCTCCTACTCCCTCCTCAGCATCTGCCAGGAGCCCCTAACACCAACTGGGTGGCAGCAGGGCTGCTGCCAAGGCCAGGGTGGCAATCCTGGTGTGGCTACAGGACCTTTCCACAGGGTCTCCGGAGCTGGAAGTGCTCCACATGGAGGGGTCCAAATTTAAACCCAACCCTCGGCTGCCTTGCTGCTCCTCTGGGACACTCACTGTGCTGAGTGCTGTCCCCTGGGGTCATCTGGGTGGCACCCACAGTGGGGGAGATGCAGGTGGCAAGGGCCTAGTCCTGCCAGCGGAGCGCTGCTGGCTGGGACCAGGGCAGGAAAGAAGGGCCGGGCCTCAGCCTGGGACAGCCTATCAGGTGTCCCTGCCCCACCTCTGGAGAAGGGCTGGTAGGTGCCCAAGTCCGGCGGTCTAGAGGCTCGTGTGCCAGGCAGGCCCACCTGAGGTAGCTGAATCCACCCCAAGGCCGAGCACTGGGGCCCTCCGCTGGAGCAGGGCACCAGTCCTGCTGCGTGGCCCCAACAGCCTAGGAGGGAATTCTAGACACACAGGGCATCTGATGCAAGCTGGGTGCACTCCATTCAGCGTAAATCTTCTCAGTGGCTCTGCTGGTTTCCATGGTGACCTGACAAGTGAAATTTTCCATCTCGGATGCCAAATGCCTGTGGATGAGGCAAAGCCTCCAAGGGTTACCAAATATAGACACAGCCCAACAGGCTCTGGGGCTGGGGCCAGCAGTGGGTTCAGGGTGGGAGCCTGCAACCCCCTGCCCAGAGGATGCCATGCTGGGGCTCCTGGAGATCTGCTTTTCCGGAGGACAGGACCTCAGCAGGGAGCTGCGGACACATCCCTGCCTCCAACCCCACCTCGGGCGGCGCTGGGAGTGCCTCAGTGGCACGGGGGCCTCTCTGCAGCCCGGGATGGGGCCGTATCTGGCTCTCTGGTCTGAATGCCACCTGGACCCTAGCTCATTCCCCAGTGCTGCAGCTCTCGGGCCTCTGCTGGGTGACGCTGGGATGCCTGAATACCACGGAGTTCTGGTTGTACTGAGCTTCCTGGTGGCCTGGGGAAGCCCCTGCTGCTCAGGTCACTTTGTAAGCACTTCAGAACTGCTGTGTCAAAAGGCCAAAGGGCAGGGGGCGGTGGGATGGACAGGGCAGCAGTACCAACGGGGAGGCTTCGGCAGGCTGCCCGCACCCCTCCCTGGGCGGGCACAGAGGCACTCACTCGGTCTGCAGCAGCTCGGGGTTGGGCACGCACTGGAGCCGGTGCGAGAGCAGCTGAAAGGCGCTGCTCTGGGGCAGCAGCATGAGCAGGCCGTACAGCGCCTTGATCAGGTAGGGGTTGTTCTTCACGTCCAGCAGCTGCAGGCGCAGATCTGCAGCAGGGCACAGGGCAGAGGCCAGGGGTCAGGGATTTTCGCACTGTTCCAGAACACACCCAGCCCAGACCCCACACCTCGGCCCGGTGGTGGTGGGGTGCAGGGCCACCCAGGACCCCTGCACTGTGGCACCTGTAGCCTGAGGACCCGGGCTGGGCCAGGCCGGCCAGGCCAGTGGCCTCCTCCAGGAGGGCCTCAGCCCTTTCCGTGATCTCTCCTCACTTGCCCATCTGTCTGACCTTTCCGTAAGGTGCCTCAGCCTGATGACCCCCAACCTGCTGTAAGGCTGGGCCCACCTCCCCCATGCTCAGCTGCCCCCCTGGTAATCAGGGCTGGGGGCTTGTAGAGTAACAGATTCCCCAGTTGGGTGTGCACGTGCCAGCACGAGAGCTATAAATAGGGTGAGCAGAGAGAAAGACAGTGGATTAGGATGGCTTTGAGGGAGGGCAGGAAGAGAAAATGCTTTTGTGTGTAGTGAGGCACAGCCAAAGCCCAGTGTCTGGCAGGTGCTTCTGGATCTCCACCTTGGATACAGAGGCAGGAAATGCACCCTGGTCTCCGCCCAGTGCCTATTCCAACCCAGGGTGCCTGGACCCCACTGGTGGCCAGTTGTGTCCCCAGGCAGCTTCCCCAAGGCCCCAGGGGGACACTGGACTGGAGATAGGTTCTCACTGCTCTCTTCTCTGTGCGCCAAGATTGCTGGCTCCTCTCTCCTGCCTCTGGGCTGTGTCACAGGCATCCTTTAGGGAGGATAAGCCACTGTCTCCTGGGGAGGGCAAAGCTCCCTTAGCGGAGGCTGCACAGGGGGTCCGGGAGGATGGTGGGAGCCTGGAAAGCCAGGCCTTGGGGCCAGAGTGAGGTTGAGCCAGGGAGCAGGGAACAAGGCGCCTTTCTGAGCCTGGGATGTTCCATGGCCCCTCCTTTTACTCCAGCAGGCTGGAGCTTTGAATGGGGACCTGCAGTTGTCCCTAGGCCTGGCCACCTGTGATACTGTGAACTATGTATTTGGTATTCATTCTTGTTTCCTGACACACAACTCCAAAGATCCTTGGAATCTCCAAAACAAGTCTTTTTAGCTAATGAGTCAACTAAGGGGTGCCTGCCCCTAGTAGCTTTGGCAAAGGGGCAGATCAGGATTGACAGCCAGGATTAGAGGGCTGGGACATTCAGCCCCACCCACAACCTCCAGGAGGGACCGAAGGTTGGGCTGATCACCAACAGCCAACGATTTAACCAAGAATGCCTAAAGAGGTGGGCATGGTGGTGCATGCCTGTAATCCCAGCTACTCCAGAGGGTGAAGCAGGTTTGAATGCAGGTTGGGCAGTTTACAATAGAAAATAAAAAGGGCTGGGGATGTAGCTCACTGTGAGGACCCAGAAACAGAAATTTAAAAAGAGAGAGAGAGAGAGAGAGAGAGAGAGAGAGAGAGAGAGAGAGAGAGAGAGAGGAGAAAAAAGAATGCCTAAGTAATGAAGACTCTATCAAAATCCAAAGGCTAGCTGGGGATGCCTATAATCCCAGCACTCGGGAGACCGAGGCAGGAGGATGATGAGTTCAAGGCCAGCATGGGCTACACAGTGAGAACTTCTATACAGCTTCTATAGAGCTCGAAGGTGTTCTGGCGGGTGTGTGCCCCTGCCCACACCTATGTGCCTCTGCATCCATATCCTTCGTAGTATCCTCTGTAAGAAATGGGTAAACGTGTTTCCCTGAGTTCTTTGAGCCGCCCCAGGACATAAACGAACCCGAGCTGGGTGTTGTTGGAACAGTGACTGATAGCTGGTCAGAAGCACAGTGACTACGATCTCAGGCTTGTGACTGGCATCTGAAGCAAAAGGGAGCAGTTTTGGGGACCCAGTCCTAAGCTATGGGAACTGCTGCTATGTCTGGGTAGACTGTGTCAAGAATGAATCAAATTAGAGGACACCTAGCGAGAGCCTGCAGACTGCTAGCTTGCTGGTGGGGAGAAATCCCCATGCCTGTTGGGGTCACAGAGGTCTTCTGTGTAGACTGCTGACACAGCACTGGATAAGCATGGGCCTGTTTTGAGGTCTTTCTTCCCTTTGGGCCTTGGGAAGCTAGGACTGCCCTGTGTCTGAGCTGGTCACCAGCTGGCCACCACCTGTGGGATCTGGGCAACACAACTGGGAAGGACGCTGCGCAGAGACAGGGTGCATCTCTGCTGTCACTGCCCTTCCCAGGAAGGCCCTGGAGGCAGATGCGTGTGGTGTCTCCAGGGTCAGCCTGCTTGGGACAGGGTCTCCTTCCTGCCCTTCCGTCTCTCATGAGTCACTACGGCACCTGCTGCTCCCAGACTTGGCCCTTTGAATGGAAACTGGGGAAAGGATTACCTGAGTTGCTGCATTTGCTTTTGGGCTCTAAGGAGAAAGGAGGCTTATGGCTCCTGTTGGGTGGGTCAGGGGTCTGCCAGAGAGCTGGAGGCCTGGGGGACTGGCTTGGGAAGGAAAGTGGCCACCGGCAAGGCTGCCTCCTGCTTCTCTACCACTCTGTAAACACATGCGTGTCATCCACTTTGGGGAGCAGGCGGTGTTATGTGTCGAGGCGCCAAGAGCTGCTCCCCCAGCCAGCTGCCACTTTTTTTGCACGTTCAGCCTGGGTGTTACTCATCAGGCAGCTCCTGCTCAGCACATGCCATCTCTTCTTTCAGAGAGGAGAGGGTACAGCTCCTGGGCAAACAGGAGCACCTGAAGGGTGCCCACGAGTGCAGAGAACGAGGGCAGGGGGCAGGGTGCTGGGGAGAGCCTGGGGCAGGCCTGAAAGTGACCTTCTGGTGGGTTCTGCAACAGCTCTGGCTTGTTACCATGTGCCCACGAGGGCACAGGAAGGGCCAGGTTCTGATGCCATGTGCCCACCCCCTCAAGCTGGCCTCTCAGCCCTGTCATCCCTCTCCTACATTCTTGGCATTCCAGAAGCATGGGGGGGGGCTGACTGCTCTCCCTCTGTCCCCAGCCAGGGTCGGTGCTGGGCTTGGCTCCACCCCACCTCACTCCAGGCCAGCGAGGGCTGTTCTAGACACAGCCATCCCCACCCTGGGTCTTACATGTAAAGATGGGGCACTCGATCAGCTGTACCAGTTTGTCCACCTCCGTGAGGAAGTCCACGGTGACCTCCAGGTCCCCGCTGGGTGGACAGTCAAGGAAAGTCTCTCCCCTGGGCTAGCACAGCCTGTCTGTGATAGGGAGCTGGATAGCTGGGCCAGGCTGGACTCCAGGGGCTCGACCCAGCAGCTCAGAGCTGCACACAGCCTCCTGCCTGGTCCTGGTTTCCTGTGCAGAGCCTGCCTCTCCCTAAGCAGATTCTGGCCTACAAAGGGTCTATGTCTATTCTCTTTGCCTTTCTGTCCCTCTAAATGGAACAGGACACGGCTGTTCCCTCCTGTGCGGGTGCTCAGGTTCCGCTCCCGCAGCTCTGTCCTGTGTGTCCTTCTGAGCCTGGGAGGGCTCTTATCAAGGACCCGAAGCCTGGCAGGCAGGGAGGGCAGGGCAGGGCAGGCCCCACGCCCGCTCATCCCACATCCAGCCCCCGTCAGGGTTGTGGCACCCATGTGGAGCTGGGTGGTGGCCTGCAGGTCTCTGGGTCACAGAAGTGGCCGAAAAGAGCAAATTTAGGTTGTAGAAGGAGAGCAGGCACACTGAGGGGAGCTGGGCAAGTCCCTGCGGATCCTCCATGGTGACACTTCACAGGCCCTCCTCCCTCAGGCCCTGCTCCTGGCCATCAGCACCAGGCAGTTCTGGCCCCTAAAACAGTGCTCTGACCTGGGTGGCGGCACCATCAGGCTTCACAGACGAGGCTGGTTTGCTTTTTAGTGTTTAAAAAAAATCTGACTGTGGATTGCTTTTGGTGAGCCAGGGGGTGAGGGGGGTGTGTGTGTGTGTGTCCCCTCCTGTCCCACCTGCTGCTCACTGTGTCGTCTACAGAGCTTGCCAGGCTCTGGCTGTGACCTCCCCAGGGCAGGGGGCAGGTACCACCTGTCAGCACCTGCTGGGCTGTGCCCACTTGGCCCCAGCCAGGTCCCGAGGCTTTTCCAGGCCCAGATCCCCACCAGAAGTTCTGAGATGGGCCCTGTCTACTGCCAACAGCGCTGTCCCAAATGTATCCTTCACGGTGCCCCTGGGGTGGCTCCGATGTGACAAACCCTGGAGACTGAGCAGAGGGACAGGGGCAGGACGACAGCCGGTGGGCACCTCCTGCCCCTCAGCGTGGGGTGGAAGAGCAGCAAGAGGAAGGATACAACTTCTGGATGAGGTCATAGGCGTGGCGGTAGTTCTGGGTGAGGAAGCAGAGGGACACCGTGGTGACGGGGTTGTGGCACCAGGAGCGGTAGAGGCAGCAGAACAGGTTCTGGCTCTCCTGGGGGAAGAGGGGCAGCAGTTAGGAGGCCCTGCTCCTCCCCATCGGAGGACCCTCGGAGTTAAAGGAGTGGAGGGGCTGAGAACCAGGGCCCCTTGGGAGCAGTCAGGGCGCCAGCTCAGCACCCTGGTTGTGTCTGGCAGCCCAGCTGGGAACGAGCTGTCACAAAGGAAATGCTGACATTTCCTCAGACCCTGTCATTACCTCCCAGTCCCACAGAGGAGCGTGGTGGTGGTGGTGGCGGGGGCCTGGTCGGGAGTGAGCCTACCCTTTGTGCTGGCAACTCTGCCTGTGGCAAAATGACAGTAGCTGTCCTCCCAGAACTCTGTGGTCCCACAGCCCATGGGGCTGGAAGGAGAAGGGGTGTGGACAGGGAAGAAGCTCTCACAGGGCTGGGCTCTCTGGGCCAGGTCCTCCTCTATCCCCAGGCACCACCTCCTCCCTGCTGGGCAGCCCAGCTCCTCCACTTAGGGTGCTCGGGAACCAGCCCAGTGGCCGAGCCCATGCTTGGGGAGCCTCTGCCGCTGAGGAAAATTCTTAAGGCCTCTGCGAATGTCTGGAAGGAACCACAGGAGGAAGGGCTGTGGCCTGGATCACTGGGAGCCGCTTGGCCCCAGATGCCCTCACACGTGTGCTTGGGTGTCCGTGAAAGTCCTGGGGAGGGGAGTGGAGGCAGGGGCTGCAGGGTCTGACCTGGAGGAGACAGAGGCGAAGTGACAGAAGCCCAGGCTGGGGAAGAAACCCCGGCTGCAGCACCCAGGATGGAAGCTGGAGGCCTCTGCAGCCCTCAGCTGGGCTGTGTGACACCTATGACCTGTGTGTCTCCTTGTCCTACCGTGACTGTCTCCCTGTTCTCTCTGACCAGGCTTTGGGGGTCCTCGCAGGCAGCAATGTGACACCCTGGCTTATGAGATGTGTCCAGCTGTGGGAGAGGGGCAGGATTATGAACCAGAGGCCCCACCCTGCAAAGGTCTGGATGGGGCAATGTGGGCGGGTTGGGGTGGGCATGCGGACCCTGTACCGGGCAAGTAGCCTTCTGCAGGCAGAGACCTTGCCAGGCAGTGGGCAACTCACTCCGGGGCTGGTGCTTACATGTAGCCCTTCAACCCAGAGGCTCTGTATTTTACCCTCGACCAGGGAAGCTCTCCATGTTATCCTTGTCTCCTCCCATGAGCCTCCTGGGGGCAGCCGAGGGGTGGGCTAGGTGCCTGGGGTCAGAGCCCAGGGACTCAAGTACCAGAGTCTTCAGGTCCTTGAGCTGGTTTCTCAGCTGGAAGAGTTCAGTGGAGGTGAGCAGGATGGTGTTGAGGGTGTGCACCATGGTGGAGGCAAACTTGAGGTCCTCCTCCCGGAGCAGGATGTCAGCCATTGAGTGAAAGATGTTCTCTGCGTTCAGCAGGAGACACAGCTGCCTGGAAAACACTGATGGTTACGCTCGGGCAACTCTGGGTACCTCTGGGCCTTGACTTGGGAAGCCTCCCCCAGGGCTTTCAGGGTCCCGGGAAACCTGCCCTTTCAGGATCCTGGGGTGGGGCTGTGCTGCTGAGGCCTGTGTGGTGGTGGATTGGGAGAGTCAGGGAGCTGCTCACAGGTGGCCTGGCCCCATGGCCCCTACATAGCCCTGAACCTGGCTGAGCCCTGGCCCAGAACCCCAGTCTGAGAGGCTACATTTATGTCCAACTCCCAGAGAAGCACTTGGGCCCCCGGCCAGGTTACCTTCATGGGCTCCCACACACATCACCAGTGGCCCCCATGCCAACACGTTCCTGTCCCCTCTGGACTTTCTCTTGGCAGAGCTCATCTTCATCTGAGAAATTCTCCATATACGAGTCATGTGTCACTGTCCCCCTCTCCCTGTGGGGGGCCCTGAGGTCAGGGAGATCCCCAGCCTGGAGCAATGCTTGCAGGTGGCAGGGGATCAGAGGACAGTTGGGCAAAGGGGACCCTGATGGTCACCCTGAGATTCATCTTTGTGTGCAGACAAGGAAGCTGGTGCAAAACAGGGCTGGGGATTTAGCTCAGTGGTTCCGTTGCCCGCCTCGCAAGTGCAACATCCCGAGTTGGATCCCCGGTACAAAAAAAAAAAAAAAAAAAAGGAAGCTGGTGCAGGGAGGTGCAGGGCCAGGTGTGCCGGTGCCTGGCTCCACTGACCCCTTGGCTGTATCTCTCCTTAGAGAGTGCCTTGGGGGTAAGGACTGGGCTTTGTGGAAAAGAGGCTCTGTGTTATAAAAAGGAACCCAGGGGGTGAAAAGTGGGTTTTCCAGGGTCCCTGGGGCAAGGTGACATCAACAGTGACAAGCAGGTCTTGAGGACAGAAGCCTGAGCCATGTGCTCTCAGGGGCCTGGCTCTGAGAGGAGGAGTACCCTAAAGCCACCTGGGTCCATGGTTTCCCAGCTGGGGTGGGGCGGGAGTGGGCAAAGGGCAGGTGAGAAGGTAGGCATGAGACACAGTGGTTCCTGTTGAGTAGGGTCTGGTGGCCTGCATGGTCCTTGTCTGAGGCTGATGTCGCCCTGCCTGACTTCCTGTCCCAGGGAAGTGTCACCACAGACTAGACAAGGTCTCCTATGCTGAATGACACAAGCCACGCTTCGAGGCAACGAACCTGAACTGTCCTCTTCTCCAAACTCACATGGACCTCAGCATTATCAAGGACCAGTTTCCTGCTTCCCTCTGAATACCGGCCATGGCTTTGCAACCAGGCTGGAGAAGATTCTGCCCCACCCCCAGTCCTGGAAAAATCCCAGCGCATTTGGTAATGCAGAGGCCAAACCACGAAGCTCAAACAGTGGGGCAGCTGTCTCCAGCCTAGCCCCAGATAGAACCAGCGGGCCTGGGCAAGAGACCGTGAGAGAAATCCCACCCGGGCTGGGGCACCGGGGCACATGGGCCTTGCGCAGTGCCGGGACCCCAGCTGCCTCTTCTCTGTTGCACGCAGTGTTCTAGTGCTGGGTGGGTGGGCAGAGGCATCAGGGCCTGGTGGTCCCTACCACCAGCTGTATGATCTCAATGCTTTTGTGCTGCAGTTTTCTCATCTCCTAAGTGGGGGCAACCCTTGTCTAAATGGGGAGATACTGGGAGGGCAGCCGGGAGGATGCACAGAGGCCAGAGCCCCCCCCCCCCCCCAGTGGAGACAACAGCCAGTCTGCTGGAGAGGGGTGGGAGAAATTCTGCAAAGCTCAGACAGTGCTTCCTGTCCTCTCCTGGTCCTCCCACCCCTAGATGAGCCCTGTCTCCAAGGCCGTGGGACAGAAATGTTCCAGAAGGGCAGGCTGGGGAAGAAGCGGAGCCTTCTGACAAATGGTCACAAATGCCCGTCGCCTGCAGCTGCTGCCGTCTCCATGACAGAGGCCAACAGCTGAGCTGCTGCCAGGCAGCACTCTCCAGGGACCCCGGGCCAGTGCGGCTCAGCCTGGAACCTCAGAGCTGGAGGGTGGGGTGGCCGCCCACGTGAGGAGAGGACAGGCTGGGGTGGGTACGGAGGGACAAAAGAGGGGCGCACCGACGGTGCTAGGTCAGGGTGTCAGCGTTTTCTGGTAACACTCCTCTCTTGCCTCCGGAGACGCTACCCTTGAACAGCACCTGCCAGGTGGATGTCCCTGCCCGGCCACCCAACAGGCATTTCAGACTTCACAGGGCCCTGACCAACTCTTGTGTCCCACAGACTTGCCTTCCCATGTCAGTAATCACGGCCCACCCAGCTACTCAAGCCCACACCAACAGGTCCTCGGTCACCCTGCCCCTCCACCTGGTCTAGCCACAGGCCCAGGGGCTTTGCCATCTGAGCATCTCCTGCTCAGCTTCCTTGTCTCGGCCCAGCCACCATCGCCCAGGGCCAAGTGCCAGCCATCTCTTGCGGGGTCTGTCTCGGGATGAAGCCACTTCCCTCAATCCCACAGGGCGCCTGCCAGTACCAACTGGGACAGCCCTAAAATGTGCTGACCCATGCCTTCCTTCCCAGATGCCCTGCTCTGCCTGTGTCAGTGGCCTCCCCCAGGTTCTAACGGAGTCAAGCTCCTGCCGTTGCCACCAAGGCCTCACCCCTTGCGCTTCCTCTCCAGCCTCAGCTCTCACTACCCTTCTCTCGCATATCTAACTGCCTGGGCTCTGCTGCTCCGGCTGGGGCTGGCATGCTCTGCAGAGGGACTGGCACCTGGCTGCTGGCTCCTTCCGGCCACAGAGGTCTCAGCTCCCTGGGTCCTGGGAGGCCTTGGTCAAATGTGCCCTCTCCTCCCGCTGCCCCTTCTAAGAGGGGGCGCTGGTTCTTTCAGAGCATCTGCCACTCCGCCTTGCTGGTGTGCTTGTGTGGTGGGTTCCTGTCTGACTCTTCCTCTAGGATGTGAACTGCAAAGGCAGGGCCTGGCACTTGGGAGCTGTTCCATCACTGTGTGAAAGGACCTCGCTCATCCTGCTCAAAGGCTTCACTGAGGCCTCAAGACATTCCTACCCACCTCCAGCACATCCGGCCTGCTCAGCCACAGGCATTGCACTCTCCCACCTCACCCCTGCCAGGCCGAGCCCAGGGCTGCCCTGCCCTGCCCATCTTATCCCAGAAGAATCTGGTGCACTTGCTTCCATGACAGACTGAGGGACTGGAGCACTGAGCCTCCTGCAGTAGTCAGCTCTGCCTAACTACAGTGAAATGCCAGAGGCAATTAACAAGCAGAAGATTTTCTTAGGTCACGGTTCTGGAGGTTCAAGTCCAAGCTGCAGGCCTTATTGCTCTGGGCCCCTGGTGACAATGGTACACTATGATGGGAGTGTACGGAGGAGCGAGACGCTCATATTATAAGCCGGGAAGCAAAGACTGAAAGACCGAGGTCCCCAAATCCCATTCACACGTATGTCCTCCCATAGGGCCTCATCTCCTCCAGATCCCAAGCAGCGCCCAATAACACCACCCGGGGACCAAGTCTATTCCACATGGATTTCGGGGGACACTGTCCATATCTCAACTATCTCATCTCCTCACTAGGAGCCTCCCTCTGAAAAGACCCAGAGGATGCAGCAGTGGGCGCACCCCTCAAAGCTTGGCTTGGGGAGCCCACCATCTCCAGACCTGTATGGCCTACCTTGCCCCAGGAGGCTGTTCTGGGGCCAGCTCCTCCCACAGCTCCCCCAGGTGGCTCCCAGCCTGTGGCTGTGGCAAGGGGAAGGGAGCAGAGGTGGGGGCCACACCTGCTTCACTCCATGGTCATCTAGGGAGGACATACCTTGTCACAAAGCCCCAGGAAGAGAGGAATAATAGCCACTGTATTACTAGGCTAGGGCACCCCTTCATAGGTGCCAGGCACTGCGTGAACCTGCTTGGACTGGAGGACACGAATAGCAGCTTCTGTGCGTCTTGGGTGCTCACCAGGTTCAATGCATTATCCTGGGCATCCAAGGGGGCAAGTCTGGGTAGTGCAGCAGGCCTGCCTTGCAGAGCTGTGAAGCCAAACAGGATGCCAGTATCTCCTGAGTCAAGAAAGTGGGGAGGGAGAAAAGAGGGCCCGGTTTTCACTGCAACCCCAAATCCATGGCAGGATCTGCACGGGCAGCTGGTTTCCACGTGAGGCTTCCTGCTGGGTCCTCACACGGCCTGGGTGGGGTAGAAGACTATTAGCCCCTTGTAGAGAAGAGGAGTCTGCGGTTCAGAGAGGACCCACAGTGCCAAGCAATCACACAGCTGACCAGGAAGGAGGAATGGGGGCTTTCCATCCAGAAGCATCAGCTTCCACAGCCTGAGATTCCCCTCACCACTCTGCCTGCTGGTGCCCGTCCCTGCCCAGGGGAGGCCTGGCAGATGGCTGCCTTACAGGGCTGCTGCGTCATCGCTTCTCTGCTGAGCCCCAGCCCGGCTTGAGCTGCCTGCCTGGCTCCCAAGTACCAAGTCAATAATGGAGCACAGCTTGCAAGCATTACACATCTGCCCGTGTTCTGAATACCTATATTAAAGTGCGGTTCATCATGGGACAATGGCCTGGAAAGTGCTTGCGGACAAGGAGAGGAGGGGTGGGCGGGAACCTGCAGGGGGTCTAGGAGGGTTCAGGGTTAATGGGGGGCCTCCTTACTTGTGCAGATGAAGTGGGTTCTCTTGTGCTGCCATAACCTAGGGAAGAGCAGGAGGGAAGTGGCCAGGACTTCAGGAAGGGCTCCTTACTCAGTGGCAGTGAAGTTACTGGTCTCAACTGGGGCTACAGAGCCTCACCCTCTGGGGCCTTCAGCTGCTCCCCCTACTTCCAGGTCTTGGTTCCATGCTGGGGCAGGAACAGCTTCCGCCACTTCCCCTTAATGCTGTCTTGCCACCGAAATTTGCCTCTTTGGGGCAGCCTCAGAGACCAAGGCTGAGTCCCTTGCTGGTGCCAGGGGCAGTGCTCTGGGTAGCATCTGCCTGGTCTTGACTGCATGACACTCGCTAGGCTACTGAGAGGG